AGCCTGCCACGTCCCGGCTGCGGGCCGGGGACAAAGAATGGCGAGTTTGGGCTGAACTCCCGTGCGGTTAGTCCCTCCTGCTGCTCGGAGACCGCGGCGGTGGAAATGGGGGCCCCGTGAGCGAGTGTTGGTCTCTTCTCCGCAAGTACTGTGCTAAAGACACCATTTCAGCAGTTTCTAAATCAAGTCACTGGTCTTATATGAATTTGTGAATAATGTTGTTTGTAATTCATGAATGTTATTCATAAATTAACCAATAATGCTTGGCTGTGTGACACCTGGCAGTAGGAAGGGCCTGTGGCCACTTGGTGCGTTGAAATATTGAGTTTCATGACTCCGGTAGGGCCTGAACTGCAACTCAGCTGTGCTTATTTGGATAAAAAATATCTTTTGTGCAATAGCCAACAGGTAGGGAAACTCTGGTGCCTGCCTCCTGACTGGTGTTGGAGTTGTGTGTTTCCATGATGAGCTTGTTTCCTGCAGTGCAAACGAGGGAGGTGGTGTTGGGAGCACAGGAACAGGACAGTCTTCCCTTTTGGCGCTGCTGATACCGAGGCCCTCTAGAACTGGGGTTGTCCCAGCGCCTCTGTGCAACTTTGCTGATATTCCCTAGTGTCGTGACCACTGATATAATGTGCACCAGCCATAGGGAAGACACACAGAGTTTACCAGGTGTGATCATGTTTTTAAATAGCTCTAAAACCTACTTTTCAGTTTTTTAGTGTACTTCTTGGCTCCACATAGAAATATAATTTGCAATATAAACAGAACAGTATCGCATATATGAACATGTGATGGTGTTTAAATGCCTGTTTCTTTGTGACTTACTTGTGCAACATGTGTTTCTCTGAACTGTTGCAGGATGGTTGTAGTTCTTTGTTTGAAGTTGCGTTCTGCCTTCTTGGGAAATTTTAGTTACTATAGCACTTCTTAATGTCACCAAGTCTTACTAGCCCTGCTGGAGAAGGGAGGAAGTAGCTGCCACGTTCTCTCCCAGATGCGATACCAGGGGCAGTCCCACTCCTTGCGCAGTGCTTGGGGCTTTCCTTGCTGTGCTTGGAAAACACAGGGTCAGCATTTGCTCCGCTAGCTAAGCGCTGAGAGTGAAATTCAGTCCAGGGCTGAGACCACGTTGATTACCTGGCTCTTCAGTGCGTTGGTGGCCTCACTTTTAACTGTATGGGCCTTGGTGCTTGGCACTGTTTGAGGTTGTCTGCAGCTCCTGGGCCTCCTAAGAGTACGCACCAAGTTTTCCCTGATACTTGGATATCTAAGTCACCCCTTCAGGTTACACCTGTGTTTACCTGTTTTTATTCACAGGTTAACACTACTGTGTAAGCACATGAGAAGCATATAACTAATCTTAAAATATTTTAAGTTAAAAATACAGTATAGCCTATTAACCTGATGATGTGTTAAATGAAGAGTTTTCCAGAAGTTAGTTCCTTTGTTAATATATCCTGTGATATATCCTTTGTTAATCAGTATATCCCTTTGAGAAGTTTAAGGGGAAATTTGCAATGCACCAAGTTAACTATTTTACTCGGTGATGAAAGAAAGAGTACCACATGCATGTGGTTTGGAGGAAAAAGTGAAAATTGTAGGGGAAAAAAAGCTATTTAAGAAATAATGTTTTTTTGAGTGCTGTATTGTAAAACTGTGATAGTATTGCATCATGTCCCTGTAAAAAGACCTGTGTGTTCAACTCCCTGTGGAAATCCAGATTCAAAAGAAGCATTGCTTAAAATAAGCCTTTTAATACAGTATTATTAGAATCAGATTTTCTTTCTAAATAGTCCATGTATGAATTTGTGCAAAAGTCATTAATGATGTGTTGCTAACAGTTTTCATCGCATTGGCTGAGAAGAGCCTCAGTTACGGGTTTTCCTCGTGTAGCATTCTGCAGAGTTTTCAGTGTTATATATAGCCCTGTAGTTACAGGTGTCTGTGTTCAGCTGTTCACTAGGTTTTGGGTGTGATCTTGTTTTGATTAAGCAAGTTCAGTTATGTGAGTTTACAACTGACTTCAGAAAGACTCAAATCATTGTTACATTGGTGGTTTTTTTTGTGTGTGTGGAATTGATATATATTCTGTTATACCACAAAACATTCTTCCAGCATATAAGTCATGTGGTAGGAGTGCTTGGAGTCCTTGGCATGGCAGATGCTTAAATTGCTGGCGTTTTAAAGAACACTGGGAGTATAGTTACAAACCAAAATACTTTTTTCTCACCTTGTGTTTCTGCTGCTATCACCTCTGCATCAGAAATCGGAATGCTGTCATACCGAAGGGCGATAGGTCCCTTATGCAGGACCTAGAAAGCAGTGCAGTTAAATCTGAAGCAGAATGGCATTTGGCTGTGAAGAGGTGACCCACAACTGGAACAGCTTGTCATACACGTCAGCAATTACGATCTCATTTCAAGGCAGACTGATCACGTGTAGCAAGTATGAATCTTTAAGAAAACTTCAGCAAAATTGACAGGTAAATGTAGCTGCCAGGAATTTGTTTCCCTGCTTAGCTTTGTCTGTGTTTTGTTTTTAAACTGTGATTGCTTTAAGTATTTAAGAGGTAGTATCATGGCAAAAAAAATTGCTCAGAGAACCCTGCGTGTTTAAATAGCCTTCCTGTGGAAATGTGATCTGCCCCCTGTGAATGTTTGCCCATAGTTAGCAGAAGCCCTTTGAGAGGAATGTGAAAATGGCTGTGAAGGCTGTTTTTTATCATAGATTTGTTACAGAATCAAACCGTTTTCAGTTGGTCTTCATACATTTATTATGCAAATAAAACTTGTCTCAAAAGCAGGGCCTAGAAATGTTCTGTGTGTTATATCAGTATTCACTTGAGGAGCAGAGAGGGATGTGCAGTGTAACAGGCTGGCAGGGACTGAAGAGGGTTTTACTCTCAACTTGCTTGTATTTGACACTTAAGGTCCAGGCTCTTGCAAATACTGACTGAAATGTGCAAAACTTAGCTTTCCTTTTCCTAAGCTCCATTCTTGTGTAAGCAGGTGAAAATGGAGACTGCAATAAGACTACGACAAGGAAGCAGTGAAATATGTTTGTTTTCCTTAAAATGTTGCTTCACAGTGTTTAAAAAATATTTCTGTGGTTTGTTGTTTGTCTGATAAAAAGAGCAGTAGCAGTTGCAAAACCTTTTTTTTTTTTTTAATTTTTTTTAGTAGCAAAATGCATGACCTTGTTGAATTGTTTTTTGAGAGCTGGAGAACAGTGCAAGGATGTGGTTAAAATCCGTACAGTGTTAAAGCATTTGCCTCGCAGGGGCTGTTGGAGCCTGAAGAGAGTGAAGCAGATGTGTGTTTGGTAACTGCTGCTAACTCTGCCATAATTGGAATCACAAGTAGTGGAGAAAGCTTTAGGTGCGTGCAGTTAAAGGAAACCAAACTGTGCGGGGTTGACTGTCACTGACCGCAAAACAGGACCGTCCGAGTGACCCCTGATGTGACAGCAGAGGCCCTGGAAGCGCAAGCGGTGCGGGAGGCCCTTTGCCTGGAAGTGCAGGTGCTGCCCTTCTGGGAGCTATGGAAAGCAGTGACAAAGGTGAGGAGCTGTGTGCGACTTAGCTGTGCTAATGAACCTGCCAGAAAGCAGTTACTCTGCCAGAAAGCTGCCCCCTCCCAATCTGGAGGGTATTAAAGGTCTTTCTCATTGAGTAGAGCCGTGTGTCTCCATGAGCAGTAAGGAAACAACAAGAAAGTTCTGCTGTGGCGCTGTGCGGGATTCACAGAACTTGCTAATGTGTAAATTGTGCGACAGCCTGTGGAAGCTGCCCAAGGCTGATAGCACAGGTGGGATTACTAGATTGTACAGGCATGTCCATAGCAGCGATGCCTGCTAACACAAGTGTGCTACTTCAGAGCTGACTTATGCAAAATCAAATGCTTGGATATTTTTAATGGCTGCATGTGTAAATATTGTTAAAGAGACTAACTTTGTTGCTAGAGATAGAGACTCTATTCTTTCCTCTCCCTGCCTCACTGTGCCCCTCCCCCCCCCCC